GGGCTGAGTCCATTCTTCATATATATTTTGCATTTAGATACAATTAAAGAGTACATACTACATAGTATGTAATCGTACATAATTTCCCCGTATAAACTACGCCCTCCAAAGCGTTCATCCATAATTGCCGTTTAGAGATGCATATGTTATTCCTGACATTTCTGCTTGAAAGTAGAATGCATTCATATGTGGTGCTATGAAACAATGTTACATCTTAATTTTTAGTGAAACTTTATGCTATATTATAATAAGAGACGAGGAGAGAATGAATCAATATATATGATCTCTTTCATTGTGTGTTTTGGATGTCTTAGTGACTTGATCTCTTTGAAGTTTCAATTTCACTATGCTCTCAGGCTCTCTGCCTTCCCCTTCAAAACCCCTCCATCCAGACAGACCCCAAGTGTTCAATCGGTACATGTATCGAAATATTACAATGAGATTGGACAAATGAAGTTTTTATTTTTTTTAGGCTAAAGGGTCAAATAGTCCCTTGAACTAGCTTAAAGTGTTCAATTAGCCCCTTATATAGGAGGTTCTGCCTGGCTGTCGCCAATTGGGGCGGTTCCCGGTGGAATTTTTTGATGAAAATTTTGAGCATCGTCTTCATTAAGTCTAGTTTATCCATACCAAATTTCAGCTAAAAATTCAACCGGGAAGACAGTCATGATTTTTTGAAGATAACTGCGCAGTTAAACAGCGCATTACATAGTGTCATTTGCACCCTTTCATAGTGTCATTTGCACCCTTTCTATTACTGACTGAGGTTTCCCATGACTGAGTTTCTTGTACATGAATTTGCATGTACAAGTATCAGAATTTGCTGGATTTTGGTTCTTTTGGCCCCCGGGCCCGGACCGGACCCGGTCCATGCTTATGTATGACGGACAAAAGGACAGATAAAGTAATAATTAAGGAATTCAGTCTTGTTTATTTATTTATTGTTTTTGTTTTGCCTGATTATGTTTGTTTTGTTTTTAAGTTTTCCCACCTAAATTAGATTAAATTTATCTTGCGTTCTTTTGTTTTTTCACTTCAATATACTCCGTAGTTGACAAAGGCACGTATTAAGTCCAAGTAAATCTTTCAATTAAAATTTTGGCTTTGACAATCAAGTTAACAGAAATCTAAAATGCACGTGACAATCCTTGTTTGTTGGAATGCACTTAATTAATATACTTATACGTAGGATATTATAAAAACAGTACAATAATAATAGGGGTTTTATAAGAATATTACTAAAATAAAACTTATATACATAAATATGACTATTCATTACTACAACGTATTGTTGTGATAACTTAAGTTCAAAACTTGAACATGAATTAATATGATTTCATTACTATTCTAGTAACTAGTCATATTTTTATAAACCATTTTTATTTTGGTCATATTTATGTAATTATTTCATAATAATACAAGTAAGATTAATGAAAACAAGTACTACCTCCGTCCCTAATAAAACTTCCAAATGAGTTGAGCACAGAGTTTAAGATAGAGTGTATTGTGTGGTGAAAGTTGTGCAGAAGAGAGAAAAATGTGTAAAAAATGTTGTAAACCACAAATTCTTTATCAAAAAGGAAAAGTGGAAGTTTTAATTGGGACAGACGAAAAAGGAAAGTTGAAAATTTATTTAGGCACGGAGGGAGTACAATTTTGTAATAATACAAGTAATAATACAAGCACTTAATTAATATACTTATATATACTTAAATATTTGATAAAAAGTTAAAAACTAAAAGCCTGGCATAAAACTATATTACATTTTATATTATATTCCATTAGAAATTGAGTAAAACTTAAACCAATTACAATTTGGTAAACTTGAAACTAACGCTATATATTTTTCGAAAGATAAAAAGGTTCTTCACTTTCGTTATTTATGCATTTGCCGGCACCTAAAGAACAATTTGTTCACAAATAATTGATATTTCACTGAACAAGTAGAATAGGGCATCTTAACAAAAAAAAAAAGTAGAATAGGGCATATATGCTATAATGACCGATGTGTTTTGTTATACTTATGTTTCACATTTTGATATCCGGAGTACAAGAGATTATAGGGCAACGCTTTTTTATATTATGATTATAGGGTAACGTTGCATAATGAATTTTGAATAAATCATACCAGAAAAAACATTAGGCTTTATTAGAATGCTAATTAATTTTGTAATCAAATCTTGGATCGCTGGATATTTTTAACTATTTTTCACTATATTTCCTCCGTGTTACACAAAAAAAGTTCACTAAACAATTGACGTACTTATTCAAAAAAACTTTTATTTTCAAAGAGTAATAATTTTTACTATTAATTTTTGAAACAACTCAGTTCATAATATACTTGAAAATCTTTCTCACAGTCCAGTCCATGCACTAACCTTGTTTGGCAATCCACTTAGTTAGTTATTGACTGTTAGTTATACCTGAAGGAGAATAACGCAGATGAAATATGGAAGACATAACAATGGTAAACGCTGCCCTCCCAAGCGTTTTGCTTTTCGGTTGTTTGATCCCAATCAGTGATTTGGAGCCGCCAATATTTGATCTCTCTGCCATGGAGTTTTACCAGAACAAGGGATAGAACTGAAAACAACGAATTGCTTCTACCGACAGCTCTAGTAGTAGGCCAACCTTCGTGAATTTCAGATTTCAGAGGAGTCGAGGGGAATAAACAGACCTTAGCGGAATAAGGATGTTTTTACTTGGACTGTAATTTGTCCCAGACCAGACCAGACCAGACCAGTTCAGACCAGACTTGGATAGTTATAAAAATACAAAGAAATCAGACCTTACCAGACCAGATCAGACCAGACCAGACCAGCAAATTACAGTCCAAGTAAAAACATCCTAAACAGACATTAGCCCCTGGGAATATAATCTTCCCACCAACCAAAGGGCTTCTAAAGCAATCTGAGGGACTTCCAGTCGGGAGCTCTGTCAGTCATCTTGAATTGATCTTTTCACCGATCAAATAATTTCTGGAAGAGTCATTCTATATACACCCTCCTATGTGCTCTTGAGTCTTGAGCCGTTCAACACCCAGCCAGACTCTGTGATGAGTCTGCGTGTGCGTATAGGTAGTGGAGCTTACGGCATGTTTGGATTGAGTGTTAGCGGGTGTTAGGAGTGTTTAGTTTAACACTTGTTTGGAAGAAAAATTTAAAAAAAATCAGAGGTGTTAATAAGTGTTTGAGGGTGTTAACAATAACCCTCCTAACACGGTAACACCTATATTTTTCACTTTTTAACACCCCAATTTGGGCTGTAATGGAGTGTTGGACAATAATTCCCACGTTCATCTCTCTTGTGGACTATCATCCTTCCTCCCAGTGACTGTTCTCCTTCTTTCTCCCACGCTCCCAGTGAACTGTTCTCCACGTTGGTCTCCTCTTCCCCCAAATTCTCTTCACTTATTTGTATCGCAAAATCTATTCTATCATGTATAGTATATGTACGAATCTAGCTTGAGATTTTTTCCTGCGCAAAATGATATACATATATATATATACACGTGTATATCAGTTGTTCCTCGCCATGACCTACAGAAGCATATGGATAGTTAATATCAACGAAGTATTAGATTATATAACAATGCAAGACTGGTGAATCTCATGGATATGGTAGTATTTGACGGTTCAGTGTTCATCCCAATCTTTTATTTATGTTTCACTTTTCAAGGATCCAATGATTAAACATTAGCCCTCTTTTTAGGCGAGAATATTTTTGTCAATTTAAGTGAAAACACTTCCATTATTAATACTTCATTTTTTTAAACTCTCCCAAACAAGATAAGATTATGTTAAACACTTACACTAAACTTCCCTTCCGGACCCTTGACAATACTTACTAACACTTCCATTACTAATACCTCCCAACACTTCATCCAAACAGGCCCTTAGTTTAATTGGAAGGGTAGAATAGTTATTTTAAAAAAGATTATTTAAATTTTAATTTGGTGGCTTCAGGTAAAAATTCTCCTTGGCAAATTGCACCGCTTACATATGCAATGGGAGGTGCTTCGCGCACCTTTACTTTATCTTTGTGCACCCTTCATTGACCAAAATAACCTTATTAAATTTATTTTTTCCAACTTGCAGCCCAACTATGCTTCAGCGGTGAAAGAACGAGCATCCCAATTTAGTTCCCAGCGATTCAGAAGCTTTGTTTCCTTCATTAATACAGTAATACCCCGTACGATTTTTACTCATCGTTGATCTGCTACTTAGTTCAGATGATGGGCACTCATCTACCTATCATTGATGATCAACTTATCAAGACACCATCTTCCACTGCGATGCTTCAGGAAATATAGCCTGTCTCTACACAACGAGCAGACATTCCACATCGCCTTGAAGGTTACAGTTGGGGGGTGGGGGTTTTGTTGCAGTGTTAGCAGAATGCTTGACCCAGGCCATTCAAGATCATCTATAGCTTCCTTTAGCGCTGCGGACTTGAGGGTAAAACTGACAGGACTACTCCCTGCAGGTTCAAAGTGGCAGTCCCAGGTATTGTCTCGGGAATACGTGTTCTAATCTCCGCATAAATGCAAGCATTAGATGAATCAACAGATTTGAGAAGAAGTTCCATATCAGGCCATGGGTAACGAAATTCTATAGTATTTGATTTTCTGGGAACCGAGAATGTACTGAGGCAAACTACAAATAGCCCTAAACTCACTCCGAAATCTGTGTCCCTTCCAAGTGGTATACATACTGAGTAAACAACTCGCGTTGCAAATAAACTTTTCCTTGAAGACACGGGCTTTCCTCGACGATCAACACTAGTCCGTATACAACAATTGCATTTCTGGATGATAATCACGGAATAGCAGAGGGTATAATTGTCCAAAAAATGATTTTTTGGGTGCGCCAAGTAAATGTTGGGGTGCGCGATGATAATCCGATATGCAATACACCTAAAAGTCTAAAACATAGCTCGATCGCTATCCCAACCAAAATTCGTACTACATATAATTTACGCCATGAAAATAACAAATGACATACACAAAAGCAGACATACAAAAATAAATGTAAAAATATATTTCGAAGGAAATACACAAAAGGAACAATTGAGAGGCCAAAAACATGGTACTACAAATAATGAGTTTGAATTTGTAAATAAGAAAGACTAAAATATGAACAGAAGTGGGCATGGTACTACAAATACCCTTTCTATTCATACTCACTCATTCTTGGATCGTCAAGGTTGTTAAAAGAATTCTAAAGAATCCCATACCATTTTTGAAAGAGAAACAGTTGGTAGTTCAATTTTGTTTGATCCCCATTATTGTTCTCACCTGTGGTGGATGCAGATACGGGGGGGGGGGGGGGGGGGGGATTAAGAGACCCCAATGCACCCACTGTTAATATAATTGAAGACTTGCTTCAGATTCCCTCTGGAAGGGCGGGCATTAACTGCGAATTTGCAGATGTACACCAACCTTTGTCTCAATTCTAGCTTGCTGATATTTCTCTTGTTAATGGATATCCTTTCATCAAAACATCCTATTTTAATCAAGCATTATATGAAATAGGTAAATAAATAAATAAATAAATAAAATAAAGAGAGGGTACTGAAAAAGTGAAAATACATGCTGAGCGAACTACTTTATTATGATTGACATAAAATCTAGCGGAGTACACATACCTTTGTCATCAAATAATGCCAACAATATCCCCAAGCAGACACAGATGCTTATATCTTCTCCTGAAAGAAAGACAAACATGTCACTGAGATAAAATTCCACGTGTTTTATGCACTTCTATTACAATAATTTTGAGTAACTTGCAGGTGTAAGTTAAAAATAGTAAAATATACAGTAGTGAACAAGGAACAAACCATTCACACAACATACAAGAAGTCTCTTCCCTTTCTTCAGGTTAGCTTTGGCAAAATTGATAGCCAAAGGAAGACTTCTTGACACAGAAAACCGATCAAATTTACAGCCCTGTTTTCCATCATAAAAGGTGAGAGCTAGGCATGAGGACGAGAATACAGGATTGCCGATTTACACGAGTAATTACTTGAGCATTGTGAAAAATCATAAATACTCTCCATATCACGTGACTTACAACAATTGGTAGGTGTAAATAGGCTTCAGGATCATCCAGCAAGTGGGAAAATTCTTCAAGGCCACAGTTCAGTATGCTATCAAAAGAGGAGGCATCCTTAGCTGCATGGTTGAATACTTGAATCCCATTAAATGAATGACGTAGATCGTGAAGGTGGTTGATACTACTTTTCTACACTACCCAATTCATAATACTTGCTGTACTAGCAGCACACACTCAAGCACATATATTGAAGTACACACACATTAAAATTGATACTCCCTCCGTCCCTAAATAAACTTCCAACTTTCCTTTTTCGTCCGTCCCAATTAAAACTTCCACTTTCCCTTTTTGGCCAGAATTTGTGGTTCACAATAATTCTTACACATTTCTCTTTCCTCTGCACAACTCTCCACCACACAATACCTACTATCTTAAACTGTGTGCCAAACCTATTTGGAAGTTTTATTAGGGACGGAGGGAGTATCAAATTTATTCTAGGGTTTTGGGGCTATATATATATTTTATATATATCATTACACTTTTAACAGATTAATTTTTATATATATTTTTAAATATTATATATATTTTACATATATTCAACAAATTAAATTTTTTACTCAGCAATGGGTTACAAGTATTTCCAATTTGAAGCTTCGTTCGGTTGGGGAAATACTATTTGAACTTTGAAAAGCATCTCATGACTCATCCTTAGAAACCTCAAGCTCTCTGGAATCCTTTTCAAGATGGTGATATGGATTAAACCTGAAAGCACATCTCAAATTGAACACATATGCTTCATTTTTACCTGGTAGAGTTGTGGGCGGAGCAATTATGAGAAATCAGAGGAGATATGCTTTTTGCTCTTAGCTTCCCAGTGGAGGCGTCTTCTTCCTTAGTGGCCGAGCTGAATAATCATCTTTGCAACGCTGTGGACGGTTAAAGCAGGTTTTTACTGGCTTTCAGGCGAAGACAGACTCTTCACTTGCTCTTGCTTGTTTATCAGACACCAGATTGCAAAGATGGAGGGACACCATTCAGGAATTCAAGCTGATCTCAGAAAGGAAAGCAATTGTTCAAGCTGATCTCAGAAAGGAAAGCAATTGTTCATACGATGTGTGAGGTAACTGGGCGGCCCATCATTTGGCAAATGCATCCGCGGGCCGTCTGACCACTTATTCCAACCAGGACGTCCTACCCTTACTGGCTAAGCGGGCCTATTTCATGGACCTGTTTGGCATTCCCTCTTTTCGACTTGAGTTTCATTTCTGTATTTCTGTATTCTTTTTCTGGAGAGGTTTTGGTTCGGTCCCCTCTCTTTCTGTATTTTTTGATCATTTTAATAAAACCTGGCAAATGTTCCTCGGCATTTGCCCCACCGACTTAGGTGGTTTACCTACCTGGTTTTAAAAGAACATTGCACTTATGATTTCATTATGCACATCATTCCATTGCATTGTGTTGCCATACAGCACATAGCCTTAGTTCGTAACATTGCTATGTTTGGTTACTTATGTAATGAAATGAAATCTGCAACCGCCACCATCACAATTCACATTCACCACTTAACATTGTATTAGTTCTCAACTTTTTAGTAGGATGGATGACCCCCGGGAAGTCCTCGTGTTGCATCCCCGCGAAAATTTCTTTTAGGATTAAGGCTTGGACGTTGTTATTGTTGTATTAGTTTTCAACCTTTTTATTTAGATTATTTTTAAATTTATCTTTATAATTTTTTTCTATTTGCAACTACTTTTTAACAATTTAGTTTGTTTTTTAATAAATCGTTAACCGTATTTTTAAATTTTTTTTTTCTCCATAAATTTGTTGTATCTTGAACTATTTTTTTGAACTTTTGGATTATTTGTTTGGTCAAAATCTGTATAAATTTTTACATTAACTGTTTTTATTTTTTACTTTTATTTTCATTTCTTTACTTTTTAAAAAAAGATTGAAGTGATTTTTTATATTTAATTTATTTGGTAACTCTCATCATTCATCATTTTCATTTTACCCCTGTACTAAAGCACAGAGAGACTGTTTCCGAATGACCTATAGTGGAAATCGCGTCCAAAATTGCATGGACTGACTGCTGCTGCTTTATAACAAAGAAGCGCAGACAGTTTATTTGGTAACTCTATTTAAACAAAATTAAAATGAGATTTCGAGATGAGTCCTCATATGAGAAATGTGAATGAATCTGGTGCACCAGATTCAAGATCTAACTAATGGCTCTAAAGTGCCAAATATGCTGAAAAGAAATAGGAAATGTGGTGGCACTTTCACAATTAAAATGAAATTTTCATATTTCTATAGTGAACCATACTCGAACCTTAACCCACTACGTGTGTGTTTGTAATTTCTAAAACTTTTGATTTTTTTAAAAATCTGTTACATGTGTTCTAGCCTTCTAGGTATGTGTAAATTGTTGAAAACAAAATGGTAAAAATGCCAACCAAGGTAGCAATAAAATTACTTACCTTGAAGGGTTTTGCCAACTGCAACATTGGTAGCACCAAGCCAAGATATAGCATTATCATCACTTCGGGACATTTCATCTCTATATATGCACATATTATCTGCACCCAATGGTTCCTGTGCAAAAAATTCACTGTTGAGACAATTTTTTATAGAGTACCCTAGTGAAACCTGAGGAGCGTCTTCACCCCTTTGTGCACAGTATACTCTGTTCTTTTCCACAATATCAGCAACCTTCTGATTGCACAAATTTGGCCCCAGGCTTAGGAGATCATAAGCATGTTTCCAGAAAAGAGTTGGAGTTAATCCTCTTGCCCAGCTCTCTTCATCATCTCCAGCTCCGGCTATATAATTCCAACTAAACTCTGAAGTGGTTCTTTGTTGAAAATCACTTGTCGAGAAGGACGGAGAAACGAGTATGATGGGCGTGAAATCCCAAGAACTAGACTCAGGCACTTCATTTAACCAAATTACAGTTTTCTGTGATATCCATAAAGGTCGTAATGGCTTCTTTAAGCAGGAAGACATTGAGGCAATGTCAGCTCCACTATCCTCAAGATCCTTAGTCCATCCAGCAAGTCGTTCCTGAATAAGACTTTTTTCTGTTTCGCAGACCCATATAGGAAGATGCAAAGAACAATCCCAAGGGAAAAAGTCCTTATTAACATCTTCAGTGTGATGGTTATGGGACATGCAGTAATTTATGTTTGACTCCTGTCACATTGATTTCACAGAAGAATTAACCACAATTTTCTTTTCCCGCCTCCACCATAGAATTTAAATACACAACTAATGTAAAAGAAATGTCATCATTTAAATTCCCTATGTAATCCATTTATAAGGAGGTTAGAAGTAAACAAGATAATAAACAACACAACTGTTTCCTTCTTGCCAGAAATACAATTACTAACAAATAATATCTTAAAACATACTCCCTCCGTCCCTGAAAGAAGTTCCCACTATCCTTATTTGGATGTCCCTAATTTAAGTTCTCATTTTCTTAAATGGAAAGTTATTTACATCAAAACAGTGCCAAACAGTGCAAAACAGTGTCAAACAGTGTCAAACAGTGTCAAAACAGTAAAGTTTACCCCCTGACTTGCATTAAAGTGTGTGAAAGTCAAATGGGGAACTTCTTTCGGGGACGGAGGGAGTAAATGATAAGCCAATGAAGCCATAAGCTTAAAATTCTGCCTAATTTCTCAATTATTACAAATCTAAAACAATTTATTTTATGATAGCAAGACTGCAACCAACTCAAACAGTAACCAATAATTTCAAGCTCAAAAGTTCTTAGCAAGCAATCAACTTGTTATTGGGTAGCGGTCGGATTGGGTGTAGCCGGGTTTTGTGGTATACTGGTATAGCTCTTCAATTCTAACATTTGATGTAAAACTACTACAGGTATCTCAACTCATCACCATCATCTCATAATATTTGCTATAGAAGTGAGTGGCACGCATGATGATTGTGATTCTGGATTCATCTCATCGTTTCTTCTTTACAAGGGAACTGAAGGACATTAACAATAAACTTTACCCATGTGTACTTTGCTGGAGTTTAAAGTGTTAATTAGTTGTATATAATTCATTGAGGCTTTAAACTTCACGCCACCGACCTCAACACATTTGATGTTAAGGTGTTGATGATGATGCTTAAAACGTCGAGTTATTATAAGCAATGAGATATGCATCCTCTTTACCCATATCAAGATCCTCTGTTGTACATATAATAAAGCAATTGCGATAGACCACAGTAGTTGAGCTACTTTTTGCAGCCAAGGTAATAAGATGTTTGAACAACCATTAAAGTTGTGGTAATGATATCTTCTTCTTTTTGTAGGGTGACATCCCCCCCCTGAACATATTTAATCTAAAAACAGAATTCAAAATATTGTTATAAGTTCATATAAAAAAAGACTTACTCTGTCATGTCATATTATAAAAATTAATCTAAAAACAGCATTCATATTTAAAAACACTTGTTTCATGTCATTTGTTCGTATTTATTACGGAGTATCATTTTCTAAAGTTGACTACAAAAGTGCAGAGAGCCCTAGGACTTAGGCAATATATTAATTTAAACCCAAGTACCACAAATAACAGCTAGGCCTTCGAATTGCTGAGAAACAATCACCTAACTCTACAAAGACAGATCTGGAAAGCAATTCAATTTACAATTCAATCCAATCGGTAGTGCTAATATACACGAAGTAGAAAACAAAAGAAGCACAATAATTAACTCTACACGCCTCAGTCTGCCATATAATCATAACCTTATATTAAATGGCACTGAAAATGGAAGATTAATTTACAAAAAAGACACCAAAATAGAAGATTTGCCTTACCTGGTCATTTGGAACAATAACACCAGATAATTTGCCTCTAAAATTAGCAACTGCACGGTTCAATACACAACACCAAATTGGTATTGTCTTTGACATGCTGTCTGGAAACCTTTTCCCTTTTCTTGTTGAGTCAATGATCATACATCCTCCCCTCTGTCCTAGACATACAAAAGCGGAAATGCATCCACATCAGCTACGAAGTAAATAATCATATGATCACCAACAGTCCATGAAAGTGCCCTGATGTACATAAACAGGCAGGGGCGTTCCCAGTGGATTATATGCTCTGCTTCCAATTCAAGTGAACAGTATTAGTGCTTAGGTGATATAGGTGGGCGAGTGGTATTAGTTCTTTAATGAGGGGACCGGAATTGGAAGTTAGGAAGACTATGGGAAGAAACATTGTTCACGCAAGAAAATTTTGAATTTCTGTAAATCCAAGGCTAAAACAACATCATTGGATAAGGCATAATGAGATATAAGGCACAATAACATGGATATGGATAGCATACATCTCTGTTTATTGAAAGGATAAAGCGTACCGGCGAGCAGGGCGACGTGAAGGTTGAGACGAGAGGTATTAAACGACCAGTTATTGGTGTGGCCATCGGTGGACTTAAAGTAGCAGGTGGAGTGGAACTTGGAGGAGTACCAGAGGCCGCATCGGAGGTTCGCTAGAAGGGGGAGGTCGGGCCATAGCTCCGAAATCTCTCCGACGAAGATCGAGTCTTCGTAGATCGAGCGCAGGGCGTTGTAGAGGCTGTTGTGTTTGCGTTTTATGCTCCGTGTAGCCTTGTAAATGCTTAGGTTAACCGGATTCTCCATATTTTTATCCTCCATGGCAACAGTGTCAGGAACCTGGGCAAAATACACCTCCCTAGAAGTAATACTACGTAGATTCTTTCGAGTACAACTTCCATATGAGATGGAGTACGATGCTTAACAAAAAATGATAGATGAAATTGGACTATAATGACAATTTGAGAGATAGGGAGTGCTTTCGAGTAGCACTCCCTCACTATCAGTTGAGCTACGCCCATTGGTGAGTACAATGCTTACCTTTTTTTTGTAGTTTGTACACTGTATATAACATGTTATCTTCACCTGATCCGAATGTTTTTTATCTGAATTTATTAAGTTCTGATCTGAATTTTTCTGATCTGATCTGATCCGAATCTTTCAGATCTGATCTGAATCTTTCAGATCTGGTCTGATCTGATCTGAATCCTTTTGATTTGGTCTGAATCTTCTGATCTGATCCGATCTGAATATTTCTATAATTATAACTATTATAATTATAATTGCAATTACAAATATAATTTAAATAAAATTATAATTATAATCATAAATATAAAAATAATAACAATAATAATAATTAAAAATTAAATTTATAGGTATAAAAATTATAAATATTGTTAGAGATATTTTCAATTGTATTGTGATCAATGTTCAAATAGCCTTTTTGTAATAGTTTATTTATTCATAGAATAGACTTAATTTGGAAAAGGCTCAATTGTCTGAATAGGAATGGACCTCCTTAAAGTTGGAACTCAATCATTTGTTAACCTATCATCCTCAAGGCTATAAATATGCCCCTTAGAGAATGAGTATGTTAAGCTTTCCCAGACATTTCATAACTAGAGCCGCAGAGCCTATTCTCGTGTAAAGATTTCTACGTTAAGTTTTCATATCATTCTGTAAAACCTTCTACACATCAATGGAAAACTTCATCCTCATCTGATCACTCTTCCATACATATTCTAGAATAGAAAACAGGGACCTAACAAATATTACACTAATTATAACTATAGATACAATTATATTTTTAATTATAATTACTTATTACAATTGTAATTATAATTTTAATAATTATATTATATAATTATAATTGCAATTATAATTTTAATATTTATCTCTATAATTATAATTACAGTTACAAATATAATTCTAACTACTCCGTATAATAATAATAATATTTACAAAAATAATTATAATTATAATTATAATTATAATTATAGTTATAATTATAATAATATTATTATAATTATTATAATATTATAATCATAATGATGTTATTATTATAATATTAATATTAATTTAATAATATCATTATATTATTATTATAACTCCGTATTATTTACTTTATATAATATTAATTATATTATTATTAATTTTGTTAATTATAATTATAATATAATGATGATAATAATAATTATAATTGTAATTATAATTAATATAATAATAAAAGTAATAAATCATATTTGAACTTTTCTGATCTGATCTGAACTGATCTGAATGTTTCTGATCTGGTCTGATCTGATCTGAATGCTTCTGATCTTTCTGATCTGATCTGAATTTTTCTTATCTGATCTGAATAAAATAAGACTAAATAATAAGTAATAAGAATAAGATGAAGAGAACAACTTCTTATAAGTAGTATTTTAGTGCTTTCTTTACCCCTCCTCTAGCGGTGGGCATTGCCCTCCCTTCCCCATCCCTTACACATGTTTCTTTGTCTCCCAAATCCTTTTTTTTCAAATATGATGGATGATTTTCTAGCATATTTGACAGTGGATGGGGAAGTGACCGGAAACGATGGAGCTTTGGATGATACCTACCTGTGACGGAAGACGAACGACGGAAATGGAAGAAACGAAGAAGCTCTGAACGTCGGAAATGGTGGAGCTGTAATCGAAGAAGATGGAGCTGTGACGGAGGGCAGAATTGGTGGAGCCGTGAACGAAGAAGATGGAGTTCCGAACAACGCTGGGGATGAAGACTTAGGTGGGATGGGTGGCGGACCTGGAACACAAGGTGGCAATGAAGTTCCGATATTTGACGTGGAAGGGAATAGCAGGGAGAAGACGAACACAGATATTGGGGGTATTTTCTTTGACACACACATACATCTTACATACTCACTTACTGTGGACATGCACACACACATGTTACCTAGTCTTCGGCGTTTGCTTGTACTGACAACTAATATCGGTGTGTACAGAGTACATAATTTTTCATTTTTTCCTCATTCAGTTTACTGACGACTACATGTATGAAAGTTCCTACGAATACATACCTACCGACAAATATTGTCGGTATGTATAGACAACTGAAGAAATCCCCATTGAGTTAATGTATACCTACAAAGGTGATTTGTATCTATGAATGTTGTTAATGTATACCTACAAAGATGTATTTTATGTTTGAATGTTGTTAATGTATACCTATCAAGATTGTATTTTATCTATGAATGTTGTTAATATATACCCTACTACTAAGATGTATTGTATGCAAGTAGGTTTTATGCAGAATAGGGATATTGGTGATCAAGTTTTGGTAGCCCAAGAGATGATTCATGTGCTATTGATAAGAAAATTAGAGGGTCCAATGTGGTTGTTAAATTGGATATGGTTAAAGCTTTCGATAAACTTTTTTGGAAATACTTATTTGAGATTCTTCCCAAATTTGGCTTTAATAATCATTTTGTGGTTCTGTTAAGAGCTAATCTTCATGCTACTTATCTTTCTATTATTATCAATGGGGTCTCACAAGGTTATTTTCAGCCTAGAAGAGGTGTTAAAAAGAGAGACCCGCTTTCTCCATTTCTGTTATTATTACTTCTGAGGGTTTCTCTAGAGGTCTGAAAAATAAGGTAGCTGAAGGAAAGATAAAGCCTTATTGGATGGGAAGCATTGGGTATCCAACTACCCATCTAGGATTTGCTGATGATTTAGTTGTCTTTCTTAATGGTAGATCAAGATCCTTAATAAATTTTAATAATTTTATTAAAGATTATTAAGTAGCTTCTGGGCAAACTGTTAACTTACAGAAGAGTTCCTTTATTATTGGTAAACATGCTGCTCCTAGAGCCACACTGAGTGAGGATTTGCTGGATATGAGAAAATTTGATCAACCTATGAAGTACTTGGGGGTTTACCTGCATAAGGGCATCAATAGAGCTCAGTTTTGTGCAAATATTATTAAACAGTTTGATGATAAACTTACACCTTGGAAGCAGAAGCACTTATCTCAAGGAGGAAGATTAATACTGATTAAGCATGTTCTTAGCTCAATTCCCCTTCACATTCTAGTAGTGGACACTCTTCCAAAGCAAGTAATTACCATTCTGGCCTGGAGAAGAAAATGACACCCTTTCTGTGGGGATCTACAAATGATAACAACATATTTCATTGGGTCAAATGACCAAAGCTTTGCTATTCTACATAAGAAGGGGGTTGGGAGATTAGATATCCCATTGATTTGGAAAAAGCTTATTCTTTGAAACTTTGGTGGAAATGGAAGACACGTAATACTATTTGGTCTGCAATGCTGCCTAAAATCACAAATTCTCCTATTTGGAGAAGGATTTGTCATTTAAATGAGGAAGGTGGACCTATGGCATAGATTGTGGAAAAGATTGTATTTTCACCCTATCTTCTGCCTATAATGAAGTGAGAGAGGTTTCATCTCCTACATTCACATACAAGCACCTATGGCATAAAAGTCAGCCTATGAAAATTAATATTTTCACCTAGAAATTCCTCCATAATTGTTTGCTTATTACTGACACTCTGAGACTTTGTTAAGATGTCAGATTGCCTTAAGGTCATCTATGTGTCCATTGTGTAAAAATTACTATGATACTGTTAACCATCTGTTCTATCAGTGCACATTTACACAGGGCATATGGAGGTATTTATGGGAGTATTTCAGATTCCTACTCCTAGGGCTGGTGTTTCTGTTCGGCAGCTCTTTATTCAATGGTGGTTAGAAGCAGGTTCTAAGACATTGGCTGATATCTTTAAGCACATAATGCCTGGAGTTATTTCCTGGCATATATGGAAGGTTTATTCTTCCTATATCTGGGGATCTGGCTCAATACCAACCAAAGAACAAATTACTGGCCAAATTAAACATTACACACAGAATTGGTCTTCTAACATTCAGAAATACATGAACATGAGAACCGAAGCATTCCTTTTTGAAGAGGGTCTGATCCATACCAATTCCGATTCAAGAATCTAGGGATGCGAATAATCAAGTGGCAGAGACCTAAAGGTGAATATAAACTAAATGTGGATGCTTCTTTTTACATGGATTTGCTGTTGATGGAGCTATCTTTCGAGATAGGAGGGGCGAACTAATCTGGGCAATTATCTTCAGAATTCAGGCAGCCAACAGTGAGGAGGCTGAATTGTATGTGATTGTGAAAGCTTCATGTTGGGCGATTGAGTGTGGCTTTGTTGATTTTCAGGTAGAAAGTGATGCTTCTTCTGACTTGTTGAGATTATCTGCGAATGAAGGTTCAACGCAATGGTGTTGCCTTATTTGTTCGTTTGTTGAGAAGGCTGTCTGTAAGGGGATTAAATTTGGACGTACCTCGTGTGAAGGTAACTGGGCAGCCCATGCTCTTGCAGATTGGGTATATGTCACGAGCCCATTTAATATTTTTAATACGCTGGATACGCTTCCGGGTGTAGCCCGAAAATATTATTTGGCTGATCTTCTTGGTTATCCATATTTTAGACTTTAATATTTTTTGTATTTCTAATGAGTCAGGTACAGCCCCCTCATTTAGGATTTTTGGTTATTTATCATTGTTATTTATTTTTTGAAGAAGTATTGGTCTAGCCCCCTCGTCTGTATCATTTTTATATTAATAAAATACGGCAAATGTTCCCCGACATTTACCTCACTGATTTTGGTGATTTGCCTACCGAGTTAAAAAAACTAAGATGTATTTTATGTATGAATGTTATTTATGCGTACCTAAAAAGATGTATTGTATATATGTATTGAATGTATGAATGTTAGTAATGTCTACCTACAAGGGTAAAATAATTATTTGATTATGTGAACAGGTGGAGATAACAATGGTCGTGAATGTGAACAAATTC